TTCATCGGGGGCCTGCGGGCAGTGCTGGCAGAGGGGAAGGAAAAGCTTTCATCTTTCCTCCTCCCAGCTTCCACCAGGAAAAAGCAGCCACACGGAACAAACCGGAGCCGGCCAAGCACCCCAATTCCTCGCTCCATGTTAGACGCTCGGTACAGCCCAGCCGCTCTCCCGCCTCGGTTCCCATCCCAGGGGTTAATCACTCCTCGGCCTCCGGAGGTTACTGTGGAAATAAACACGTCAGGAATCGCGAGGGGCGATCGCGGGGTAGGAATACCACAGGGACGGTGCCACGGAGGTGCTCAAAGCAGTCGGGCTGTGTACAGGGAAAACAGCCTGGGGCTGGCAGCACCCTGGCAGCCACTGCACATGCCAGGACGGAGCGTTACGGCTCGCAGCAGGAATTATCTCACGGCAAAGAGCTGCACCGGCATAAAAAGGGGATGCTGCAGCCAGCGGGGCCCGTTCGTCCAAACAGGGCAGAGCATCCAGTCGGGAAGCAGGAGAGGACTCGGCTTCCAGCTGGGATGGAGCCGTGCTCCCGCTCAGCATAAAGCCGCTGGCGTTCCCTCCCGCAGAGGTGGCCTGAAACTCGCCCATGAGCAGGATTACCGCCTCTTTCCTCTACACAGCTCGGCTGTTTGCGCAGCCAGAGATGGGATCTCGGATCAGACGGACCCACAGGTTTGATCCAAAGGGGAAATGCTTTCATCCTCCTGCTCCCATGATTTCAGTGCTGAGCAATTCCGACCTTGCTGACACCCAGGTTGTGAACGGGCAGATGCCCAGGCTGAGGAACTAGCCCTGACCCGCATCTCCCCAGGACGGCTTTCCTCGCTCCCCCCCGAGCCATCCCAAGACCCTGTGCAGCCCCTCTCCGCTTCCCCGCAGCCAGGATGGACCGGGGACGGTCGGACGTGCCCTGTCCCCCCTCCGTGACCAAAGCCACCTGCGGGAATGGCGGGATGACGGGCTGGGTCATGGGCCTGATCCAAACCACCCCCCAGCACCGCACAGACACCGGGGGAAAGCCAAGGGCACCCAGAGCTTACAAGGACCTGCTGAAGCTCTCCCCTCTCCCCCTCCCACGGCTCCCAGCTGATGTTTGGAAGAATTCCCAGGCTGGGGCAGAGCCCAGCTGGCTCCTGCCATGTGAGGGCTCGTGGTGTCGGCAGCGAGGCCAATGCAGCCTCTGGGCAGGTCAGAGCTGCATGTGGCAGTAGCCGACGCTGCCAGCTACAGCGCGCAGCTCTGCAGCCGCAGCCGCCCTCGGAAAGCAGCCGGCACTCGGCACTGCCGGAGCCATCACTCCTTCCATTCCCACAGCTCAGCCCAAACTGCTGCTCGAGGCTTCCCAACCCCCGTCATACAGGGAAGCGTTATTCCCCATCTCATGGGGAAGGATGCTGGTAACCCTGGCACGTGCTGGCGGTGGCCTGAGGATGCTCGTGGCCACAGCCAGACCAGAGGCGGTTAAGCAGGGTGGGGCTCCCGGCGCGCTCTGCACGCTGGAAGCGCACGGGGAGGGTGATTCAATCATGCACGCGAGCTGCAACCATTGCACATCGGCGCTGCTTCCCCGCCGCACGCCGGCAAGCAAGCGGCGATGCGGTGGAACGTGGCACCTCCTGGCCGCAGGCACGCCAAGGGGGATGCCGTGGGCTGCCAGCACAGCCGCAAGCACAGCCCGGAGGGGCCGGCCGTGGCACAGCGCGGCCCCTCCATCGCCAGTGCGGACCGCGGGCAGGCAGGCACTCAGGGCAGCCCTCCCGGACACGGGGATATCTAATTGAACGGTGCGGCGGCAGCGCAGTGACGGAGCCCCGGCTGGCACGAGCGGCGGGCTGCTTCGGCGGGGTGTGCTCACGGCAGACGGCGTGGCAAGCGGGCTGGAGGTCCCCGAGCTGTGACCCTGATGGGCAGTGACTTTGCATTTTGAGGATTCGCTGGTGAACAATACAACTTTAGGGGAAAGAAAAAAAATTAAAAAAATAAAAAAGGGAGGGCAGAGATGCTGGGGGCGTTTCTGCGCTGCAAAGAGGAACATCACATGCTCCGGCACATCTCATTTTTTCTGCTCAGGTTTCAGCGTCGGGCCATGGCAGCGGCGTCCACGCGCGGCAGGCCGGGAGGGAGGCGCCGGCAGCATCCGAGGGACCTGCTAAGCAGAGAGCCCGGCCACTTCCCAAGACGCTTCTGCCTTTCTACAGCCACTCCTCTCTTATCACAGATCTCTGCGCGCTTCTCCAAGCGGTAAACGTGCCTGCATGCAGCCCTGGATGCCTGGAAATTCACTCCCCAGGGCAAATCGAGGAAGAAAGTCCCAGGCGACGGCACCCGGCTGCGTTTGGGTGCCACAGAAGCAGCCTTTCCCTCGGCAAGAGCGTGGCAACGTCCCCGCCAGAGGTGCCCTGCAGGGAGGGCACCGGCGTGACGCAGACAACGTCCCCGATAGCATGGGGTGGGAGAGGCTAAGCCCTTCTCTGCTGCATGGGGCGATACCTCCAGTGACTGCTGCCTCTCCGGGACACCTACTACTGCAAAACAACCGCGCCGAGGAGACGAGCATGACCAGACACGCCACCACCCATCGCTCTGCTGAAGGTCCCGGCCCACGGGAGGCTGGGCTGAGCCCACGGATCCCCGAAACGTGGCCCCAGGGCAGCAAAGGGAGGGCACCCACAGCACCTTCCGCCACAGGATCGTCCCGGTCAAGGTGGCAGGGACGTGGCTGGGTTACGGAGGCAGCACCCTGCGAACGGCCGGGATGAGGGCCATATCTAGGACAGGAAGGGCCACACCTGGAGCACGCAAACACCCTGCCCAGGAGGAGGAGGAGGAGGAGGAGGAGCGGCTGGCGTCCCTCCAGGTTTCTCTCAGCCCCAGTGACCTTCTGACTCAGCGGAGAGAGAACCTACCCAGTGAACCGGCACCAGCCTCGGGGCAGGGGCGAGATTGCACCGGGGACTGCCGGATCCGGCTTGCTGCCGCAGCAGC